CGTTTCATCAGCGTGGTGCTCCCGTGTCGTGTCGTCACTTTTCAAAGCTGCACGTTGCGCAGTTTTTATCTTTGTGAAGAGCTCCCACACTTCGTAGGACTTGGGTCGAACAGTTTTCTCTGCGTCGGTCATTTGTAAAATGTATTTAAATTCCTTTGAAAACAGCCTCTGCTCTGCTTCCGCCTTCCCCTCGCTCTGTTCAACTCGTGCTGCAGAGTTGTTGTTGTTTGTTTTTTTCCAAACTTTATTCAGTCAGCCAGCATTGACAATGCACTGCAGCTGAACAAAAGAAAGTGAAAGACGCATAGTCGCGCGACACAACGAATCGATTATGAAATTCATTGCCAACACTTTTAATTATCGATTTTTATCGATTTTATCGATTCATTGTTGCAGCCCTAATACATATATATATATCAGTGTGTTGCTGAGATGATAATTAAAAAAAAACTTTTTTTGAAATCGAAGCCAAATGAATCTAAACAAATACTGTTTAATGAAGCGAGTTCATCTTATTGCTAACATAAAAAGTGAACATTAGTGATTGCAAACCAGAACAGACCCAAGTTTTTTATCTAAATCTACTTTGTCGTAGCCTGTTGTTACTTTGTGGACTGATGAGGGGATACTTGATCCTGTCTGACATTAAATCAGTTATGTGGGATGAAACTGTTGAAAACAACTTTTAATCTTTAGGCATCTGGACTGACTCCGTGTTCATATAACCATGGTCACCCTCCTGCGTCAGTGTTCTGTTTGAAGTCTGTCTCTAACTCCTTTCTGTCTGACCTGCAGTTTGCCTTTTGTCTGTTTTAACAAGTCACAGTAAAAATGTTCTGGTGGGCCTCCAAAAAATGAGATAACAGTGCTTCTTAATCAAAGGGTCAGTTTAGTCAAGAACAGCCTTACACAGATAAAATAAATAAATGATGTAACAAACAGCAAATACACCCATTAGTGAGTACATTTTTTTCTGTTATTTTTTTTTACAAATTCACCCCAAAAGGATAAAAATACAATTTATTAAAAAAAAAAAAAAAGACGTATACACTTCATACAGGAATTAAACTGGAGAAATTTAATTTCGTGCAGCGTGAAGTTTTGATGAAGGAGCTGAAGCTAAAGTTAACACGAAGAGAAGACAAGCTAAAAGATTCAAACTGAAGCCGAAAGGAGCAAAATGTGATCTAAACGTTAAAAGACCAAAACTGTTGCTCAAAGCTA